CCCGCAGCCCTGGGCCTCTGCTGTCTCTGGGCCTCCCATCCTCCCCATCACCAAAGGGCTCAGAGGAAGAGCAAGGTCTGGGACCCTCCACCTCTGGCCTGGCTACTGGGCCCACCCTTGGGATCCGGAGCCCAAGGGGTGAGGATGGAGCTGGCTTGTCCCTGCCTCTGCCTGCTCTGCAGGGGACGCCGGCCACCACCACAAAGTCAGGTTGCCTTTGGCCCCAGGGGACACAAGGCACTGAGGGGGTGGGATGGGCCCTGCAGGGGAAGGAGGGGGAGAGACGCGTCAGGAGGGGGTCCAGCGAGCCGGCAGTGGCCCTGGGGGACACGGGAGCCGTGATGCAGGGTGCCGCTGTCCTACATGGGGGGACGCCCCTCCCTGCCGGTTGTGGGGCATGTATTGTCTCACCCAAGGGAGGGGCCGGACTTCCCTCCCCACAGAAGGGACCCGGGATGCAGGGCCGCTGTGACAAGAAACAGCTCGGGGCTCGGAGTCAGGACTCTGCTCCGATCCTGGAGTGACCTCTCTGAGCCTTGGTTTCCTTGTCTGTAAAGTGGGAACGAGGACCTGTTTTATAGACATATTTTGGGATATCGAGTCGTAATAATACCTGCGAACGTCCCTGGCCTGTGGGACCTGCTCACAGCGTTCCCCTCCCTCCTCATCCCCCGTCCTCCACCGTGAGCTTCCTCAGCACCGGGCAGAGAGGCGGCACACCCCAGGTATTTGCGGATGATGTTCTTAGCAGATGTTTAATTCTCCTAACATCTGGTTTGCAAAGGCAGAGGGCTGGAGGTTTCTTTCTTCCTAAAGACACTCACTCACCGTGAGGTGTCAGATCGTCCCTTAATTGCTCCGTGCCTCGGTTTCTCCACTTGTAAATCAGGGATAATGCTGGCGAGGCTGGCTGGCTGCCCCGCGGGGCCTGATAGGATATCGCACAGGACCAGATGGAAAGTGGTTCCAACGTTTAGCAAAAGGCATCCTGCGCCGCATCCCGGCAGTTAGGGAAATGCAAATGCAAGCGGCCATGCCAGATCATTCTTCATCCGTCCGATTGGCAGCCATTTAAAAGAGGGATCGCTTCCAGGTGGGCACGCGGGCCCTCCCAAGCGCTGCTGGAGGGGCCGTGAATTGCCGCCGCCTTTCCCGGAAGGTAATCTAGCGGCATCTAATGAAAGTTTCCCTCCGCGCTCTGCGCTCTGCGTTGTGTTTCATTGATCCAGCAGCAGACATCAGAGAGTGAAGGAAGGGCAAAGTCCCCACACAGTTAGTTATGTGCAGAGAGAAGTCTGGGAGCAGGAACTTGGGAACACCCACGTGTCCATCAGGAGGGGATGGCTGTCGTCATTACGAAACATTCACCCTCTGAACTACCATCCGCTTGTCAAGAGGAGGAGGCCGTTTTAAGCCTCGCGGGCCTGGAGGGCTGCTTGTGGCATATCACGGCAGAAGAAAAGCAAATTTCTGTCCTCCTTTGGTTTTGTTTTGTGTTTTTCCGGGGAGGTACTGTGGATCCACCCCAGGGCCTCCTGCACTCGGAGCTCCGCCCAGCCTGCTGGTTGCTTTTTCTTTGTTTGTTAAAGTATTTCTTAGTTGTCAATGGACCTTTATTTAATTTATCTTTATGAGGTGCTGAGAATCGCACCCAGTGCCTCACCCGTGCCAGGCAAGCCTCCACCACGGAGCCCCAGCCCCAGCCCACTAGTTACTTTTACGTAGAAGACACTCCAGAGATCACCAGGTTCCACACAGTAGTGGGGACATCCTGGCTTGGTGCAGAGAAAGGCCGGGGAGGACCTGTGCCAGGCCACTCTGCGCACCCCGTCCGACGGGGAAAGGGTGCTCTCTACAAATCGAATCATCTGCCAACATTTAAAAGTCGAGTTCGTGCCAAAGCCCAGCGACCAGTTTTCATTGATAAAAATCGGAAGCTCCAGCCACACTGGCCCACCCTCCCTCTTGGCTGGGACTTATCCACAGCTGTCACTTTTGGACAGAGCATGTGGCCTGCAAGTGGCCCTCTTCCCCACCCACTCAGAGTTGCCCCCTTGGCTGCCCCCATAGCTGTGCGCTTTGCAGACTCGGAGGGGGGCTGTTAACTGGGAGCTCCACGGTGGGAATGCAGGGGCACCGCCAGGGGCCATCCCCGACTCAATGTGTCCCAGAACCTTTTATACTTCACATGACTCTTTCATACTGCATGGTTAGGATGTTTTAAGGGCACAGTAAAAAGAAAACAAATGGACCATTGCACAGAGTCTTGGTCAGGAGCCACCGCCCAACCCACCACCTCACTGTCCGCCCAGGACTTGGGCGCAGAAGGGGTCCCCTCTAGGCCCCAACTGAAGGAATCTGAGTTCTCCACTCTTTCTGAATCTCTTGCAGAGATGTGGAGGTCTCCCCTAGAAGTCCTCCCCGCCCCGGCCCCATTCACCTCTCCACAGCTTTCTGGTAACTTATTGTTGAGGTGGGTGGCATGTCACCCTGATCCAGGTTGACGCCACCACCCCTGTTTGGGAGTCTTAGCAAACCCTGCCCGGGGACGAGGGAGGTGCAGGCCCCCGAGGCAGGATGGGGTGTGTGTGCGCGCGCGTGTGTGTGTGTGTGTGTGTGTGTGTGTCCACTGAAGGAGGGTGGCCCAGTGGGTCCCTGCGTCCCCAGGACTGACGTGATGATGAGCATCAGCCCCCTGATGTCACTGCTGGGCCATAGGAAGGCCCGACCCCGAGTCTCCTCAGGGGTACAGAGGAGCCAGAGGACCCTGACCTGCTGTCGTGGGCAGGAGGAAGCAGTCCACCCCCAGCCACCCCTGGAGATGGGGTCTGTCTTGCAGGACGTCCACCGGCTGTGTCCCAGGGCTGCCCCTGCCACTCGGCATGCGGCTCCAACCTCCTGCTGACTTGCTGTCGGGCCCTGGGCCGGCCACCTCCCCTCCCCAGGCCTCTTTGGACGCTGGGATCTGTTGCCCCTTCTCATTTCCAAGGTTTAGAATAATAGAATGGACTTTTTTTTTTTAAATTTAATTTAAAGAGGAAAAGATATGCTCACTGGTCGCTGAGAGGTCAGCTTATTGGAATTGACAATCCCACTCTTAGCCCCCCACCTTCCTGGTGGACACCGTCCCCTTAACCCTGCCCCCTGGCTGGCCAGGCTGTGCTGCTCTTGGGGATGTGGTCTCGGAGGATGGAGGCAGCAGCGCATCCCTGTATCCACTGGGCCCAGGGCATGTCCTCAACACCTCCTCCATGTCTGCCTTTGAGCTTTGCCCGTGGGGTCCCCCATGGGTAGCCACAGTGAAGAGGGACCTGCTCCTGGTGCACCCCAGCTGCTCCCAGGCCCCTCGTCCTGCCTGGGAGTGGACCATGCTGCTGCTGAGTGACAAGCCTCCTTCTTCTTTCCGTGCTCCCCCAAGGGGGTGGCTTCCTCTGAGCCCCTCAGGCCAGCTCTCCTGGAGCTGCAGGGGGCGGGCTTGCAGGCAGCGCCCCTCCAGGAGGAAGCTTCTCACCCTCTTCTCTTTGTGTCCTCAGAAGCCATGCGGTGCCACGTTGCTACCGGCTGCCCTGTGCTCTGGCTTCTCCTGCTGGTCTCTGGATGCTGGGGTAAGTCCGGCCTCCCCCTCACCCCGTCTCCTTCCCGGGAGGCCAGGCTGGAGGGCGCTGGGGCCGGCGGCTTGGCTCTGCCGGGGGACCCTGGGGAGCCTGCCTTGCTGAGTGCGACTGCAGACACTTTCCTCTCTGGGCCTCAGTTGCCTTCTGCAGCTCGCACACGGCTGAAAATACCCGCTGTCCCCAGGGCTTGGGACAGGGACGTGGGAGGAGCCTTGAGAGATGCTTCAGCTCTGTGATCTGTGACCAGAAACCGTCCCCCTTCTGGGCTGCAGGGCTGGCCACAGTTCAGGTTCACGGCTGTCATTTACACCATGTGCCCACTGTGCCCGACCGGGGGGTGGCAGGGATTCCTTGTGCTCCAGGGGCCCCGAGTCTGGCAGGGCTCAGTGCGTACTGAGTGCAGGGAGTGGCATGGTCCTGGGGTGTCCACGGCCCCACAGAAGCCCACAGAGGACAGGAGAAGCCTGGCCAGAGAGAGCGCCTCTGCTGTGGGCTCCGAGGACAGAGGGGTGGTTTAGACGGAGACGGGGAGGAAGCCTCCTGAGCAAGGGGTGCTGGCCGGGAGCTGTCCTGCAGGAGCTGCCCCCCTCTGAGCACCAGGTCTCGTGCCAAGGGCAAGGCCAAGAGGACCTGTCACTGCCGCCCGTTGGCCCCTGGGCAGTGGCTGGTGAGGAGTGGCCCTGAGCTCGCTGAAGGAAGCCAGCACTGCAGGCATGCCACCCAGGGATTCCCCCAGGGCTGCAGCGCCCCGGGGAGCAGCTGTGGGCACGGTGTGCCTGGCGACACGGCAGACCCATTCCCGTGGGGCCGAGGCCTTCTCCCCTCCGGGGGCCTGGCAGGCTGTTAGGAAGCTGCAGCCTCGTCAGGAAGGTCCTCTCTCCCCGCCCCTGTGCCGACGTGCCCCCAGTGACAGGGACTCGCTGCCCTCCAGGAGGCCCAGCCTGCAGCGCAGCCCTGTGGAGCCAGGGAGGCCAGGGAGGCTGCCGCACCTCTCACCAGGGGGAACCAGAGCCTGGAGGAGCTGCCGGCCCAAGGTCACATAAAGGGGGGGACTTGGATTCTCCGTGGGGGCTTCTGTCAGATCGCCATCCCCCGCCCTCCCTGCCCCGCGCGGGAGGCCTGGTGGGGCAGCTCCAGCCTCTGGGTTGCTGGGCAGCGGAAGTCAGGACACTTGCCTCAGCCTCCCCAGGGACTCTGTGACCTTGGACACCTCTGCCCTTCCCCCACCCACAGGGAGAGGCACTGGGGACACACAGCAGGGGCTGAGTCCCCGACTCCCCCGGGGGGCTCCCAGAACACTTATTTTGGGCTGGGCTGGGGCTCAGTGGTAGAGTGCTCACCTAGCACGTGTGAGGCCCTGGGTCCGATCCTCAGCACCACGTAAAAATAAGTAAATAAAATCGAGGTATAAAAAATATTATGTAAGAAAAGAACACTCATTTTGTGTGAGCCCTTTCCTTATCAGCTGTAGCTTTCTTTAGGGGAGCCACACAGGACACAGAGAGGCAAAGCAATTTGCCTCAAGCCACACAGCAATGCCCTGGCAACACACGGGTGATCTCCTCCCTGTGGACTGTCCTGTCTTGTCCGTGTATACAAGGGTCCCACTCTCACGGCCGGCCACATCCACACTTCCTGGCCCCTGTCCAAAGTGGCCGGTGTTGTTCTTTCAGCACGGTGGGGTGGTAGCTGACCTTGGGGTCTAAAGGACAAAAGTGGCTTCCTGGGTCAGCCCTTCACCTGTCCCCAGACCAGGCCACACTGTCCTCCCTACTTCATCTCCATCTGACCTGCTAGCCCTGGCTGGCCCTTCCTCCACCCCAGGAAGTCAGATGGGTCAGGCTCAGGGTCAACTCCCCGGCCATGTCAAACCCCTGCCCTGTCCCCCTGTCCCCCCGTGGAGCCTCCTGTCCTTCTCCCTCCCTGCCCGGGTCTCCACGGGGTCCCTGGCACTTCTTGTTCTTCTGTGGCCTTGTTGGGGGCAGGGAGGAAGGCCCGAGCAGGCTGCCCCTCGACTCTGTTGGTCTCACGGAGCACCCTGCAGCGTCTTGCTGGTGGCCCAGGTGCTGGGCAGGAGGACGTTCGACCACGGGCTGCCCACTTCCCCATAGACATCACCGCTTGTCAGGCTCCCCCCACAGGCTCCTGTGGGCCACAG